CTTTGGACCCTCAGGGTATTCCCTGGACGCTAGACCCAAACCCGGCAAAGCATCTCCTGGTGCAACTCCCCACTTCGGGTGGTTGATGTCTGTTTCAATGTAATACAGCGGGCTGAATAATGACAAATACTATGTTGGGGGTTTCCATATTAGAAGATGTAACATAGGTGTCTGAATAATTACCAATACTATTTTTTGTTTTTTTGTTTTTTTTTGGGGGGGGTCCTTATCATAAGTATAGTATAATCATTAAGGCCCCTAAATTAGAGACCCACTCCGGGGCTTTGGATACAAAGAGATATTTAGGCCATGCAACAAACGGGTGCCCATGAATTACGAATATTTGCCCGTGCAGTTCCCGTTGGTATACTGTGGTATACCACAAAGTCCCAAATCCTAAATCCTAAACCCTGAACCCTGAACCCTAAACCCTAAACCCTTAACCCTTAACCCTAGACCCTAAACCCTTAACCCAAACCCTGAACCCTGAACCTAAAAGGCTCCGATATTCTCCCTGGTTCTTAATGGGGACTGGGGGAATGGATCCCTAGGATAGCCCCTTAAGGTCCCCTGTAGTCCCAAAAACCCATTCCTCCATTCGCTACCAAGAACCAGTCGAACCCTGAACCCTAAACCCTAAACCCCATATTCGAGACTAAGCCGCAGGGTTCAAAAGTTTAGGCTTAAGGTTTAGTTTGGGGTTTAGGGTTTCATGTGGGGCTTAGGGTTTAAAATAAAAGCCCTAAACCCTAAACTAAACCCTAAGCTAAACCCTTATAAGCTTAAAGGGGTTTCCAGAAGCGCCAGTTCCAACTTTCCTCAGCCTACGAATCCATCAGTCTTATACAGCCGAAACCTCAAGTCCTTAACCCTAAAGTCCTAAACCTACCAACCTACTGTTGATGATATGAATCCTGCATTACCTTAAGGACCCTAAACTATGGGAATTATGGTATATTCCTTATTATGGGTAATGCAGGATTTATATCATCAACCGTACGACTATACCTCAGGGGACCCATATTTAGGGGTACAATACGGCCCGCGAATAAGAGTACAGAGGCCTTCCTCCACTTCGTGAGCTTCCGACTTCGGATTTGGCTCGGCCACCTTGCGTGCACAAATCTGCCCCCAGGATTCAGGCTTTAGGGGGTAAGTAGTCCCTATATGGGTAGTTCTCTAAATTAGCGTCCCTTTTGGGGTCCTCAATTGGGGACCTGAAAAGGGACCCTAATTTAGAGAACTGCCCAAACACTAGTTGATACTAGTTGGGTACATGGACCCTTAGGGTTTAGGACTTAGGATTTAGGGTTCTAGGATTTTGATGTTTATAGTTTAGGGCTTCCAGGGGGGTTGCCAGGACCTTCCACGGTGCTTTTTGCAAGGGCCTTACAGCGGCATTGGGGGGGGCGTACTTACTTGTGGCTTTAAGCTTGAAGGAAGGGTAGTAGGGGCATCTAGGAACTATACATGGTTTAGATTTTTTTTTGTAATGTTGGTGCAGGTTTCAGACTGTGGGGGGGTGCGGCTGGGAGGGTCAATAGTTTTTGTAGAAAGGAGCACATTTCGTGCGGTTCTAGGTTGGGATCCCTGTTGCCGCTACTCTTCGCTTCTATACTCACCTGTGGAACCCAGAGACTCCAATATCCCTTAATTACGGAATATGCCTTAAATTAGAAGAGGAACCCTGATGAGATTTAAGGTATACTCCTTAGTTAAGGGATATTGGAGTCTCTGGGAAATGTGGTGGTAACGACAGCTGCCTGGGCTCAGGAGTGCTTATGACCACATTGATAGCTAGCCATCATTTCTTCACGTAGAAGCCTCCCGCCCTAGGCCCGCAAACCAAATTCCCGAACCCTAAGGCTCAAAAAATAGCCCAAAGAGCCTCAAAAAATAGGGACTGTGGGCCCCCTAAAGCCTTAAAATATGAGTCCTTAGAGTCTTAGGGCCCCCGCCAGTTCCGAGGCTTCGTCATCTCTTCTGCATGTGCCGGAGCCCTCCTTGGTGCCTGGGCAAGCTGGGTCCAGCCCGTGAGCCCTTAAACCCTACCTTAACCCAGCAGAACCTGCCTTTTTTGTAGGGTCCTATAAATCGCATATTAGGGGTTTATAATGGGAAACTTCCAAAAAGTAGGTTTTGGTGGGTGAAGGTAAGCCCTAAATGCGAAGCTGTAAAACCGAAGCCTCCATGATAAACACCTCTCTGAGACCTTCCTGTTTAAAGTGCCCTCAGAAATCCCAGAAATGCTGACTTCGGGATCCTCCCCCCCCCCCGCCATCCTGATTCAACCTGAACCCTAATCGAAACCCTCAAGTAGTTCCCTTTTGTGGCTGATCTTTACAATCCTGTAAGGTAATCCCAAAGAGGAACTACTTAGGGGCCTATGGGTAAACCGGGTAAACCCTAAACCCTAAGCCCAAAATATGTTAAAAAGGGAGCTGGTGTCCTCCATCAGCGGTCTGCAGATCCCCTAACTCCGAAACGATATTTAGAAAAGTTAGGCATGCAGAGGTGTACGTAAGTCGTTCCTTGTGGAGTTCCTGTCAGAAGCACCTGCATGGTGAATCAGCTGTTTTGGGGTGTGTCTAATGGCTCGCATGCTTTTGGCACCATACACCCTAAAATCTACAGTAAAGCGTGAGTCCCGCACTACAGCACTGCATATCAGCAAGCATCCTTGCAAGACTCAAGCCCTAAACCTTAAACCCTAATCCTAAACCCTAGCCTAAACCCTAAACGTTAAACCCTAAACCACCTTCCTTTTGCTATTCTCACAGCATCAGACCAATCTGTCAGCACTGTTCTAAGTAAGCACCGATGTCAATGGTCCCCCAAATCCTACCCACAGGCGCCTAAGTAGTTCCTTTTTGGGATTACCTTATAGGTTTCTAAACATAAACCACAAAAAGGACCTACTTAGGGGCCTATGGGTAAAGCCCAAACCGAGAGCTGCAACCCGATGCCGTAGCGGGGGCACCCCTAGAATGAGGGCTTCATACCCGGTATTTCAGCCCTCAGCCCTAGCCCTAATCCCCTATAAGCCGCAGCCCTCAACAATCTCTGTAAAGGGCTACCCACATGAAGCCCTATAAACCCTCAGCCAGCAAAGAAAACCCTTGCAGATCCCTTCAAGGAAGCCCTGTCACTGAAGGGAACCCTTATAGGAACCCTGAAAGATCCCCTGCAAGGACTCCCCGAGAAAGCCCAGGTGCCGTGATCTACTTCATGGGCCGTGGAGCGGAAGGTGCCGCTGAGGTCGTCGGGAGAAGAGCCGTGTTTTGCGGGTTAAGGGTTCCTACTACGGGTTATTTATAAGGAAACCCTAAACCCTAAACTATAAACCCTAAATCCTAAACCCAAAACCATACGGGTTATGGGTTTATGGAGTTTAGGATATAGGGTCTTGAGCCTCAGTGTTTTGGGGTTTGAAGTTTCAGGGCTGGATTCATAGAGTTGCGGGTTTAGGGTGTATAGAGTCTAGAGTTTACCGGGGCTCTAAAAAACAAAAACCCTACCTTTACCGGGCTCCTGAGTATGATCTTCTTATCTACGTGCCTTAAAACATGTCAGTTGCGTAAGGGCTCTGGAAATCCCTCGACCCCGAGGCCGTGAGGCCTCATCCTTTTTGGGGCCGCGACAAGAATCTCTAGCCTTACATCCAAATCCCTAAACCCCCTAAACCCGTAATCCCCTAAACCCTAAATCCTAAACCCTATAAATCCTAAACCCGAAACCCCAAAACCAACAAAAACAAGCCCCGAACCTTCGGCCCGACAGCCCGAAACCCCGGCTTGAAGCCTTTCTCCTACCCCCTTCCTACCCCTGGCTAGAACTCTTATAGAATCCTTTTTATGCAGATCCCCTATAAAGGAGCCGTCTAGAAACCCCCTAAACCCCAAAACCGAAACCCTATAAACCCTAGAACCGAGGCCCTAAACCCTAAACCCTAAACATCCTAAACCCTAAAAGCCCTAAAAGCCCTAAAACCCCTAAAAACCCTTAAAACTACAACAGCTCCCTGTCTTCTCTGTTCGTCCCTCAGGCTGGTGGTGTTGTGAAGCCCGAAGACCGACAGGCGTGGCTTCTTTATTGGCTCATGCTTTGATGCTTGGGGTTTCGGGTTTAGGGTTTTAGGGTTTCGGGTTTAGGGTTTAGGGTTTATAGGGTTTAGGATTTAGGGGTTTAGGGTTTTAGGGTTTAGGGTTTTAGTGTTTCAGGGTTTTAGGGTTTTAGGGCTTAGGGTTGAGGGTTCAGGCTTTGTTTCTTGATGTGTCTGATAAATATTACGAATAATACTGACAGTATCCCTTTGTCGCACCTTTTATAAGCCTGTTGTGCCAAAATACCCCAAAACCTTGTTCCAACCACGAAGCCCCGTATACCCTTGAAACCCCATAGACTAGAATAGAACCCGTATATATGGATACTTCTCTAAGTTAAGGGTCCCTTTTTAGGCTCCCAATATAGTACGGCACCCCTCTAGAAACGACCCTAAAGGGGACCCTAATCAAGAGTGATCGGCACCGGTCCGGGTTGGTTGGTACCGCTCGCCGAATGTCTACTCAGTGGATTCAGAGTGCCGAACCCCTCGATCAACCCTGATCCTTGCCAGCCCTCGACCCAGACCCTTAACCCAAACCCCCACACCCTAAACCCCAGGCCCTAAACCTTGCAATTGCAACCCCAAACCTCAAATCCTAAACCCCCCTTACATCCTAAACCACCCCTAAACCCCAAACCCTAAACAGCCCTAAACCACTTTCTCCCCGGGCTCCAGGTTCCGAAAGATTGGATTTCTGGGTTACATAACATCTGTATGGGTGTAGATGTAAAGTAACCTACTACGGCTGATGATATAAATCCTGCATTACCCTAAATAAGGAATATACCATACATTCCCATGGTTTAGGGTTAGGGTCCTTAAGGTACTGCAGGATTTATATCATCAACAGTAGTTGGGTAACGGGGCCCTGTAGGGTTTGTTCAGCTCCTGAAACCTCGGACCAGTCGCTGGAGGCGTCGGCCTCTGCTTGCTCGCTCGGCTCGTTGGATTCCGCCTGAGGGTATTTAAGGGTGGTGTCTGCAACATTTAGGTCCTAAATGTTTCCTAATAATTCTAGGAATTTTAAAGGCTCAGTAGAGTCAATAGGATCCTTCTTTTTTGTTTACAAGCTTTCCGAGGTTTTGGCATGTGCTTTAAGGGCTTTTGTAAGGTGAAGGTCAGTGTAGGTTTTGTGAGGCTCATGGCTGGGGATTTTCATTGCAGGTGCCGTAGCAGGGATGTTCCAGACCTCGCCAAGCACTAGATGTGAGTCTTAATGACTATATAGCTGCATCGTTTTGCATATAAGTAAAAACTAGTGTACACAGTTCTTGATTTGAAAAGAGGGTATTAATTTGCCCACACACGAGTCTGTGTTTTCGCATAAGTACACACTGACGAGAGAGACACACACACTCTTTCTCTCTCACTCTCAGTCTCACGTTCACACACATCCACACACACACACACACCCGCGCGCGCGCACACACAATACCGTCGGCCTCGGCCTCAGGAGCGTCCGCGGTTTCAGGAGCCTCCTCCTCCTCCTGTGTGACCTGGCTGTGTAAATCCACGGAACCTCTGAGAGGGGTTTAAGAATTTAGGGCTTAGGGATGCTTCAAGGGCTTTAGAGCTCTAGATCTCTAGGATTTACGATTCAGACTAGTCGTTTGGCTTTGAAAAACTCGATGTCTTGATGCTTCTCAGGGTACGTGGCTCAAGGCGTTTGGAGTTTTGGGTTTAGTTTAGGGTTTAGGGTTGCAGGGCGAATCGCTGGCCTCGTTTGAAGCTGGCGGTACTACCTGCCAACACACATGTCTCAGCATCACCCCCTGCTACTACAACACGCACACGGATGATCGTCATAAGTCACAACGACAAAACCACTACTGCTGGTGGCACAAGTACGGCTACAGTTGCAAATAGTAGCCCGAACCCTAATTTCTATACTCCTAAATCCCAAACCCTGAATTTCGGACTGCATCAGATGTTCGTCCGTTGCCTCAGCAGGTTCTTCTTCCTCGAGCTCCTGAGCCATGAAACTTGCAGCTTGTAACATTTAGGGCTGAAAGTTTCAACCAGCAAGAACGCCATCATACTAAGCCGATGCACCCAAGCTGGTACTGCGTCATACGGACGACATAGGAATGGAGACCCTGAACTGCGAGAACCTTTCCTTACCTATCTTTCAGCACCTAAGATTAGGGACCTTACTGGAACCTTAACATCCCTCAACTGTGAGAACCCCTCCCCAGAAACCCTAAACCCTAAACCCTAAACCCCAAGCCCTAAACCCTTCAAAAGCAGCTGCCGCCTCGGAAGCTTCAGGCGAAGGTACTGCAAGATCTGCTTTGAAAGGCACTGCTCCCTGCAGCGCGTGGGGGTTTAAGGTTTATATAGGGTTTAGGGTTCATGCTAAAGCGTTAGGGCCGTTAGGGCTAGGGTTGAATTAGGAGTGTAGAGGGTTCGGGGCTCACTGCCCCGATAGCATATCCTGACTCAGAGCCCAAAGGCACAGCAACGAATGACTTGTCAGTAGCACGGGCAAGTGAACAGCGCTAGCCTTCATCATCATACCGTCATTATAACAACAACGTGGACCCGGGTTGACTTTTATTGATTCAAACATTGTCGTCATGATCCATGTGCCCACCTCTTTGGGTCTTTTCATCGAGGAGGTGACGGCCGAACGCGACAAATACATCGCTGAATCTGCCGGGCCCTTTCCCACGGGGGCCCCTGTAGGAGAGGGCCTTGAGCGCCAATTCGCATCTTCATCCGGGCTAAGGCCAGTGCGGCTAAATTTTCCACCGCCCTTTCCGCCTTTGTAGTTGCCCTTGAAGTCGCCGTTGAACTGGCCTTGAAACCCTTGATTCATGACCGGTGTCATGACACCGCCCATGCCCATTCCCATCATCATCTGCCCGCCCTGCGCAGGCATCCCTTGCATCTGCTGCCCCATTCCCATCATCATCTGCCCACCCTGCATTTGCATTCCTTGCATGTTCTGCTGCATGCCGTTCATGACAGGTACGCAGCAGACGATGTAGCCATCATTGGCTTGGGATCCTCCAACCTGCTGCTGAGGCCACTGTTGCAGCTGCTGCTGCTGCTGCTGCTGGCCCTGCTGTTGCTGCTGCGGTCCCCATTGGGGTTGTCCTCCGCCACCCCATTGGGCCTGCTGAACCCCCCCTCCCCACTGCTGCACCCCCCACTGCGGCTGCCCCCATTGTTGTTGCTGCCCCTGTTGGGGCCATTGCTGCCACTGCATCATATGGCAATCATATGGCAGTCTAATCACTCTCTTTCTGAGCCGGAGAAAAAGCTGCAAACGGAAGTGGCTAAGCTTCGAGGCCGAGGCCCCGCATGAGCATGTCGGAGCTCTCACTTTGGTCACGCTGGAAGTGGCACGCTTTTTTCCCTTGCATCGGGAGACTTCAGTGTATACTACCCGGGCGCAGCGCCTCATCTCTGTGCCTGTCATGTCTCCCACCGGCTTGTCCCCCCGACACAAGTGCGCTTTCAAAAAAAAGCTGTGCCCAAGGCATCCGGTGCTGCAAATCAACCACAAAACATCCACGCCTGGACGGCAGCCGCTGGCCCAGAAGCAGTGAGCCACAAGGTGTATCGTCTAGAGCGCAAAAAATTATCGGAACTGGAAGGCTTAGTCACGCTTAGTCGCTTGGTCTCTGGCTGAAGATGCACACTGCAGCTAGGGCTGGGGATTCACTAAGCTTGCTGACCGGGGCTGCGGGCTTGGCATCCCGGGGCCATGTTGCACAGCCGAAGCCTGAATGCAAGAAGGTCGGCTTCAAGATTCAAGGAAGTCTGTGTTGTCACAGGCAAAACCTCTCAGGATCACAGGCTTTAGCATCGAACCTCGAATCTGTGTAGTGTGAATCCGGCTTCGGACAAACCGAAGTGCAACGCATTTGCAGCCCCCCCCCCCCAAGACAAGTTGTACAGGAACCATCGTTCCATTAATATTCATGTAGGATGTAACATTTAAGCTCGGTCTCCAAAGAAACCTCAGTCAACTGTGCTTCTCTGCAGGGCCGGCGACTGGACGTTGTTTCGATGCATTGTCTCAGCGAGACCTTTTTTAACTCAAGCAATCGGCACTCGAGGCAGACGGATGAAACCCTGCTTCGCCGACTTTGTGAGGTGCTCCAGATATGCAATGGCAAATGCTTTTATATAGAAGAGCAGGCGCACACTCATTACTACTACCATCACCTACTATACCTACTACCTACTACCTACTACCTACCTACCAACTACTGCTGCTGCTGCTGCTGCTGCTTGTACTACTACTACTACTACTACTACCACCACTACTACCACTACTACTACTACTACTACTACTACTGCTATACCACTACTGCTGCTACTACTACTACTACTACTACTACTGCTCCTACTGCTACTGCTACTGCTACTGCTACTGCTACTACGACTACGGCGGATGCGTGGACTGCAGACATGCAGGAGTTTCTGGCTAAGGACAACTTCAGAATGTCTGGATTTAGGGCATGGAGCTCAACTTTCATTGGCATTGAAGCTTCAATTAGAGTTGAGGGTTTCATTCGTGCGGTATCTGCAGGGCTTCATCGGTGGAGTATGCCTCATTGCAGCGCCATCGTCTGGCGTTACAAGCCTCGTCAGCGCAACATGCAACATGCAAAACTTAATTGCTGGTCTTCCCCATTTTTATTTATGCCTTCAAGCCCTGAGACTCGGAGCCCCGACTCAGTTTCTTCCCACTTCAACATGTGCGCCTCATGATTCTCCTCCTATTAAGCCTAAAAGATGGTATGGCCTTCCTGGCAGACATGTCTGAGAGGGTTGATGCACAGATTCTGGCGTGTGCGTCCTCTACCATGTCGGCGTGCCTCCGGGTCATCTATCTTCAGCAGCACCTGGCTCCTTCCACAAAGAAGCTGGAGGACAGCTTCGAGGGAAGATGGACTTCTAAGTCGAAGTCTGCATAGCACTAATAACTGGAAATTCATGCAGAAAGCTGGTCTAGAATTACCAAAGCAACTCAGCAGTAAGCTGCCTCAACAGCTTCATCGTTGTCCGCTGCCGTGGTGCCCGCAGGTTGTGCTGGCGTCTCTGTGACTTGCTCCTCCCCAAGCTCAAACAGTAAACCGAAACAAAGGGAAACCACGTGAAGCATCATCGTGCTGACTGGCCATCTCGGATGCAAGCTCTCGCTCCCGACTGACGCTTAAAGTGACTGCCCCGAACCTTGTCGGGATCTGCAGATTGTTCGGCAGGTTCGCTTGCAGGCTCTTCTTCGGCTGGACTTTCAGGTCGCGAGTCCTCAACACTTCGACTCTCAAGATTGCTGGCCACGGGCAGTCCGGTGTCCAACGCTGATGCACCTCCTCTGGGCGAGCATCTGCAGACTCCTCTGCTTCCTGCACAAGACACAAGTCCAGTTGGAGGTCGGCATGGGTTGGTGTTTCTTGAAGGATGCCTGGCATGACGGCCTGCCGGATGGTGTCAATGCTAATCTGATTGTCGCCCCGGAATGCTTGCAGCCGCAACACAGAAGCATTGAAATACCCACTGCAGCACGGAACCCATCCCAAGGAAACACCGACGATGAAAAGTCCGCAGCGCGGGACCCACAACTAAGCAGCGTTAATCTATAGCTATTCATACTATAGGGTGAAAGGATTGAATCAGCAATCAGCAGTCTGGCTCAAACAACCAGAAGAGCCATCCTTAGCGGATGGACAGTCCGATGCAGCCAGGATCCCTAATGACTTTAATGAAATCTGATAACCTCTTCTGTGATCCACAATGACCCCTGTAATTCTGTAGTCTTGTAATTTCGTCCAGGGCTCGTATGACTACTGACAGAGCCCCAGCACTTGCAGAGGGATTATGTCACCAATGACCGCTGCATGGCAGTTTTGTCACCCTCGACACATGTGCAGCGCAGGTGGCCATGCTTCTCACTGCCGAGTTGGATTGAAGATGTCCGTTCTACAAACAGAGGTGTCACGAAGCAGGGCTTCCCGATTTGAGAAACCCCGCTCGGCTTTACAATTCCACAAATTACTTGGATCTAGTGCCAGAGGCCTGCGGCCTCTAGTTTTAAAACTCCCCAACCTTCATGCATGAATTCGCTCAGGGAAACCGACCGGTTCCTTCTTCGAGGGGCTGGTGCAATATCTGTTTGTATATCGGTGTGTGTATGTGTGTATAATATATATATATACACATACACACACACATTGTATATGCTTATGTTGCGGATCGCCGACCAACAAGACTAGTACTTGTGCAAGCCCCAGAGACATGATCCGTACATCTGATCTTGTAGTAGTCTTAGAGCCCGAGCTTAAATTCGGCTGTCGAGCTCTGGCGCAGCTTTCATGCAATGACATTGGCAATTCGAACTGACCATTCCAGAGCTACTTGTTGCGCTTCCTTGCTCGCGCTCCCCTTGCAAATCTTGTCCGCGACACCCTGCAACTCCTCCAGCTCGTCGATGGCCATCTTGATCATCACGTCAAAAGATGCATTAGCTGTCCCCAACTTCTGCTCAAAAAACAGGTGAACGTGTTCTGAAGTCCAAACTCTCGGGGGCAACACTTCCAGCACCGTCTCTGCAGGTTCCTGGCACAGCTTCGACACCACGGAGGGCCCTGAATCCGCATCTGTGCAGCATTTCAGTCCACGGAGCTGCTCGTCCATTGCGACCGCGGACGACGGGAGACTCTGCAAAGACTATAGCTATGGGAGGCAACACTCTCCGAGCAAGAGTGGCTTTGGGAATAATTATCCACCAAGGTCCTGCGAAGGACTCATTTGTTTCTTAGCGGGGCAAGAATCCGAGACTATTCCTCACAAGTTTGGTCCCTGCATGTTTCGGAGGGAACCTGAAGAAGGACGCGTCATCTGAAAATGAGGCAAACAACATAACAACATCTGTCAACGCTGAAACTGCACGGGGCACCACAGCAAAGGCTAGCTTTACAGGTAAAGGCACGTCCGCTAACAATGAACCTCCCCACCCCCCTTTATCATACATATTCACAGGTGTCGTAAACCACAGTATGTTTGGAACGATTTTGCACTACAAGGGGCAGGTTTCTTGCAAGGGGAGGGGATTGTACTGGCCCCACGACATGCATGCGGGACTAAGCCATGCTAGAACTTCGGACTTGTGGGTTCACCCTTCTTGCTCGACCCTCCCCTATTCCCCCCCTTGGAGCATTGAACCATGAATCCTGTGGGGGATGCAGGGGCCTCTGGCCAATTACATGCAATACCCTAGGGCCCTCGAGTTTGCTGCCTTGCGGGATCTGACATGCAAGCTTGTCGGAATCCACCAGTTAGGATGCCATCACCTCCTGGCTTAGCAGACCCTCACCGAAAGCTATGGAGACGCGAACCTCGGCCCAACACTTCCCCAAAACAGCCTCAACCGACCCCCTATAAGCTCTTAAATCTAAAATGTCAAGCTCCTAGCCTAAACCCTAAACCCTAAACCCTAAACCCCCAAACCCTAAACCATAAACCCATCAGCCCAGAGGCTTCGGCCTTAGCCGTCAACGGCTCGTCAGGCGCAGTCTCCGAAGCAACCGAACCCTGAATTCAGGGTCGTGGCTCGGAGCTCATAAGGCTGACAGATCACTGGACATACTGTTGATGATATAAATCCTGCATTGCCTTATTAAGGGCCCTAAACTATGGGAATTATGGTATATTCCTTATTATGGGTAATGCAGGATTTATATCATCACCCGTAGCAGTGACATAGCAACATATAACCTACCAAGTTTGCACTGCTGCATACAGAGACGCAGGTGGACGCAGATTAGTTGACACATGCACTCAGCTGGATGCATCTTTGCGTATGGGCCCTGTTGATATCTCAGTTATCCCTTCGGACGAAGATGTGATGAACATCCCATGTTGGTGATGATCACTGCGATCATGCATGGTGCTTGGCTATGCATCTAGGGCATCTTCCATACCATACCCTAAACCCTAAACCTTAAATCCTAAACCCTAAACGCTAAACCCCAAACCCTAAATCCCAAACCCTAAACCCTAAACCCCAAACCCTACATAAACCCTAAACCCTAAAGCCTAAACCCCTAATCCCCTAAACCCTAAACCCCCCCCCTCTAAAACCCCTAAAAACTTTTATAGCCGAGGACATCCCAGTGCGTGTGCAGAAC